TTTTTTTTGGAGAGATTTTCACTGTAGGGCGCGTGCGCTCGCCAGACAGACAGAGAGAGACATAGAGACAGAAAGCGAGAAATCACCCCCCAGGGGGGATGGTCACGCCGCAATCCCTTCTCCTCCATTCTCCTCTCGGGATCTTGGGCACGCACGCACACGCGCCCGGCGTGAGATTTAAGCCACCGGGTCCGGGACACGAACCGCGGTCGACTACGTGGGAGTCCAGCGACATAGCCATTACGCTAACTGCTGGTTCCCACCAGAGCACTCTTTTTATAAACCAAATTGAGTAGAACTTTTAAAGGCCTTTTTCATATAGACATACAACATACAGTACATAACATGACATATTACATGTATGCATGCACACACATATCAGGACTATAAGGGCCAATTTCCCTGGGGTTACTTTGACACTAATAAGACAATTCACAGAGATACACTTTCAAAAGTCCTGAAAGTGATCTAGAAAACAGTTAAGGGGGGCACATTTAGGCAAACAGACTGACGACTGTCCTGACCATCTTGACAAAAACAAGACTGACAAAGACAAGACAAATCAAGACAGTGCACCCAAAGACAAGCAGGGTGATAACTGGTCCTGTCCCATTTTCACAGACAAGACAAAGCAAGACAGTGTATTCGGAAATCACTGTTACCAGGGACCTGAAGTGCCGTCACACTTGGGCCCAGGGACCTGGAGGTTCCGCTGCACCCAGCCCTCAAAGTCTCACCAGGAGAGCTCTCAAACCCAGATAACTAGAATCTTAGCAGATTCAGGCGCCACCAGAGACTCCAATTTCTGATCCATGTTTTGTGAGGCCTCCTTATCCCTCTTGGGACCTGGGACAGGGTGTAAGGAGCAGCTTCATTGGGGCATTATCCGGCCACTCTAAGGTTCCCAGATCTCGCTGGGGCCTCCAAATGTTGCAGAGTGCTACGGAATGAACGGCCACCAAAGCCAGATTAAGTTTAAAGGGAGTCTTTATTAGCTGGCCAGCGACTACAGTCTGAGGCTCGGCGGGGCGGGGGGCACCGAGAGTCCAAACTGTAGCCCCGACTGAAGTTGGAGTAGTCTTTTTATAGGCGGTTAGTTACCAGGGGTTTCTATGCAAGCAGTTACAGAAGCTGAATCAAGCAGGTTAATTATTTCTGAGGGGAGTGGGGTTTCCATGCAAGCAGTTCCATTGCTAAACAAAAGGGTTTCGGGCTAGTTAGCAAAGACAGTAGCAGGTACAGGATGTCGTCCCGGGTATGGCTTTCTGTATGGCTAGCACAAGCTATTTTCTCATGGAAGAGCAAGCAGGTTTACAGAAGCAGACAGCCACGTTAGGGTAAGGGACAAAATGGACAAACATTTGTTCGTGGGCAAGATCTAATATGCGACCTTCTACAGTACTATTCCTAGGACTCGACATAGATTATTTCCCCCTAATCTTTGCAACAGCCCTGCAAGGTTGGCCTTATCAACATTTTACAGATGAGAAAAGTGGGACTCGCAGTGGCTCAGTGAGTTGCCCAAGCATAGTCATATAGCTTGTTATTCTGTGTGGGCTTTCAGCTCCGATCTTGCTGGTTCCAGAACACAGTTCCGTTCTAGTTCACATTAGGCATTGTTGGCCTTCTCATCAGGTTCTCTTTAGCTGTGAACTGAGTCTGTTCGGGAGTCTAGGTCTGTCCTTTTTTGGATTGATGACTGTAAATTTCTTAGCTAGGTAAACACTCATCATTTGGTAGAAGATACTCTTCATTGCTCTAGACCCAGATCATGAGAGGAAGAGAGTGCTGTGAGAAGACCTTAAAAGTTGGGTGTATTAACCCAAAGTCCTGAAGGATCCCTTCTTAGCAGCATCACCCTCCTGTCTGAGAATTTGGTCATCCCCGGAGAAGAAAATGTTGTGAGTAGTGGGCATGGCAGCACTTAGCCAGCTTGAAAAGCTGCCAGCTCCCAGATCATACTATTCGACAGGAAGTCTTAATGTACGAGTTGGAGAATCTAGTCCCACCCAAACTTTCTACCTTCTTCTTTTTTAGATTCTTAGGAAGAAGTCTTATTTATTTTTTAAAAAAGATTTATTTATCTAATTCCATTTGTTGTCATTATTTTTTAATCTTATCAGAGAGAGAGACAGAGAGAGGGAGAAAGGGAAAGGGAGAAAGCAAGCCACCAGGTTTGAGATTTGAACCGTCGTCAGCCAAGTAAGAATCCAACGCCTTTAACGAACATGCCACCTACTGGCCCCGGAAGTCTTATTTAATACCAGCAGTCAAATCATGAAATGCCTAAGTTCTATTTTCCTATCTCATGGGATCTGATATAATCTTATTCATATAAGGAATCAGGGACATTGTAACATGATTAAAAGTCTAAGTCTCAGGACCAGCAGATGGTGTACTGGCTATGTGACTGGACTCCCATGTAGTCAACCGTGGTTCGAGTCCCGGACCTAGTGGCTTAAACTCACGCCGGGCACATGTGTGTGCGTGCGTGCCCAAGATCCCAAGTGGAGAATGGAGGAGAAGGGATTGTGGTGTGGCCATTCCCCCTGGGGGGAGATTTCTTATTTTCTGTCTCTCTGTCCCTGTCTTTCTGGTGAGTACACGCGCCCTATAGCAAAAACCTCTCAAAGAAAAAAAAATAACAACAACAACAACAAAAAAAAAACTAAGTCTAATGTATTTCAGAGTTAAACTTGTCTCAGATGAGATATGAGTAGGCTTGAGACTTCATTTGAGTGGGATTGAACTCTGTGATGACAGTCTTACACTTCTTTGAGTTGGTAAGCATTATTCAGCCCACGCTCACACAGTCGGCTCTGCTGGGAGTGTGTGTGGTCTGGATAATTGGAAATGTAAGGGCCTGGAGATACTGTTCTCCTGTATTGTACAGACATGTGAGGTGATAAAACCAGAGCAAGTGGGGCAGCAGGTGGTGTGGTGGTTGGGGCACTGGAATCCTACATGACCAACTGTGGTTTGGGTCTCATACCTGATGGCTTGTTTTTTTTGCATTCGCTGTCTATCCTTCTCTGTCTCTCTCTCGTGAGCACACATGCTTTATAGCAAAACCAAAAATAATAAGTATAATAATAATAATAAAATAATTATTTAAAAAAAACAGCAGGTGTAGTCTATCCTCTAGAGACTTACAAATGATACTAAGACTAGACCAGTCATACCGTAGAGTGTCTCCTTTAATCCTCATGAGAATCCTGGTACTAAAATATCATTATGTGATAGCTGGGAAAACTAAGACTAGAAAGATTATAGCCTGGCCCCAGGGCACACTTCTGGTAAGTGGCGGAGCACTGGGACAGTCAGATCTGCTTGATCCCATCCTGATCTTTGCCTCCTAATAGGAGATGGTAGATAACGACTGATCTCAAGCTGGTTTTGATCTGTTGGTCATGTGTACAGCCTAGGGCACGGGAGTAACTGTAGTCCCGCATTGCCGTGTTCAGTACCTGTTAGGTGGCTCCAGTTTAATTTCACTGCCTGTTTGAAGACTAGGACTCTTCGTGCTCCAACTGAGGATGGCACGTGGAGTCCTCAATTAGGATGAGCCACCACTGATCCTTGTGGAGCCCAGGACGGGAGCGTACAGGGAGGCACGTGTGTCACATGTGGATAGCAAGCTCACACCCTGTGAGGCAGACTCTGTCCTCCTGTTGTCAAACATACTCTCCTAATGACCTGGAAGGCTGAGCTCTGGAGTTCTCTAGAGCTCCTACAGAAATGTAGAGTCCTGGGAGAGTCCTGCTCTGAGGTTTTTCTGCTTCTCTTCCCACTGCTAGCTCTTTCCTTCCCGCATTGTGATGAGTCTTAGGCACACCTGTGTGAACATTCCAGCCTGCATGTGCATTTTGGCCCCTGCAGATGGCCATCTCTTTTCCTCCCTTCAGGGCAGAAGTTGCGTATGTTGATGGCACAGTCTGCCCTCAGGAGGATGGATCCTGGAAGTGGGTGTGGGGCTTTGGGAGCAAGGAATTCTGGGGTCCTGGGAGCCTGTCTGACATGTGGGGCATGGACTCTAGGGAAGGCGTGTCTCCTCGGCTTTCTGACCACACACTCTAGGTCAGGGTGCAGCAGGAGGAGGACCTGGGCAGGCTCTGTAGGACAGAGGCCCCACTGTCAGGGTCCATGGGCAATAATGGGGTTCTCAGGCTGCTGCTTTCCTGGCAAAGGCTTGTGGGCAGAAAGGAGATGAGCAGCAAGTTGAAGACTGGCCCAGTTTCCCTAAATCTGCAACTCTTCCCTTTCCTGCAGGCCCCTCACCTTATTGTCAGCCAGTCATAATGGGCGGTGCCTCTCAGAAGGGATCGTAGCAAAATCTGTGGCCAGGACAGGAAGGGGAGGCGTATCTGTTTTTAAGGGATTTACCTGCCTGCAGAGAAATGCTAGGGAAAGTCATCCCCGCTTTTGCATCTCTTACGTTCTGAGAACCTCTTCAAAATAAATGACTTTGTGACTAGATTTCATGCTAGCACTTTGATTTTGTTCCAGTGGTGCCCAGCAGCCCAAGGGCCCGTGAGCCATGGAGGTGCCAGTCGCGTGCAGCAACAGTGGCCGCCACCACAGAAAAAGCCCAGCCTGCCAAGGATGCAAAGCCTCAAGTTCAGCCAGAGAAAAGGTACGAGTCAAATCTCATGGGTTTCTCTTTATTTTCGTTATTTCTCTTTTTATTTTCTTGTGCTATGTCAGCGGGTGTGTGCACATACCAGAGCGAGAAAGAGAGAGAGAGGAGAAAGCACCTCCCCATTGGGGCCAGGTCATGCCATAATCCTTTTTCCTCCAATTCTGCATCCCATCAGGATACCGAGCATGTCCGTACCCAGTGTGTGAGCTGCCAGAGCAGTACTCGAATCCTGGCCAGCCATGTGGCACATGGCTTCTTCTGCACAGCCCTTAACCACTGTGCTATGGAGCAGCCCAAGGATTTTTTCTTTGTTGATGTAAGCACTGGTAGACACAAGCTACCTAGGAGGAAAGGTGCTGGGCACATCCAGTATGAGGGGAGTGTGTTTCCCTGGCTTCCTTTCAGCAGCTGTTAAACTACAGATTTCACACCCCTTCCCCTTCCTCCCCAGGTTTCATCTCTCCAAACTGGGCCTTTGTTACGGGCCACATAGTCAAGTACGGTCTGTGTATCATGAAGGAGTCTGGTTCTGGAATATGTCACATAATCCAAATTAATGTATGCTGGAAATGTGTTTATGAACCTAACGTAATTATGCCAATGACATGTATGCCCTGTGCAGGATAAAGAATAACTAACCCACCAAGAATAGGAGACTCTACCATAGTCTTTCATCTGTTAACACAGTGAACATAATTATAAGTGACATAATGTGGTTTATAGTTTTTTAAAGAAAAAAGTATGTTTCATACCTCATCTCTTCCGTCAGTTGGTAGAGGCAGCAGGTTTGGCCACTGTAGTAATGGAATCTGTTCTCAAAGCTTCCTCTGCACAGAAGAATTGGAGACTTTGTAGAGGGAAGTTATTTATCTATTTAATTTTATGTATTAATTTTTAAAAAATTGCTATAGTGTACTCGCACTCACCAGAGAGAGACAGAGAGAGAAGGAAAGTAAGAAAGCAAGCTGCTGGGTCCAGGAGTTGAACTGCAGTCCAGCCACATGGTAGCTAGTGCCTTAGCCACTATACCCCCTGCTGGCCCCAGGGGGAAGTTATAATAGAGGAGCACACAGCAGCAATGTGCTTTAATACCAGGCAGAGCCAAAGACAGCGGTTGATCTGTTTAACCTGACCTTCCTGCTAGACCAGTTGTTGCTCCATGAAAATAAACTATTTAGATTTTGTGTCCATTGGTTTTTCTTATATGATCATGGGTACACTCTATGCTAAGTAAACTGATGTCCATTGGGGATATCGGGTGTTAGGAATCAGGCCCCACATCATCTCCTCTTAACTCTGTCGTCCTAAAGGGTGCAATTGGTACGGAAGACAGGAAGCACAGGCAGTGTGCCAAGAGAGCACCAATCTCTGGTCCTCCACAGTCCCCCTTCCTCCCTCAGCCATAGTGCTTTGGGGTTAGAGTAAACATGTGGTGGAGTCTGAGGAACAGATTCAAATGGAACCCTGCAAGAAGGATTATTTCATTACTATATTATTCGAGTAGCAAAAGTCAACATATTGGGTTGTTAGAAAAGTCATGATTCATGTTTACATAGAAATAATACGTCATGACTTTTTCGACAGCTCAATAAATAACCTTAATATTGAATCATGAAAAATAAGTAACAATCTATAACCCCCCAAATTATATTAACTTTATTTTATTTTATTTTATTTTATTATTTTTTTTAGAGATTTTTTGCCATAGGGAGTGTGCATTCAACCACACAGAGAGATAGAAAGCCACAGGGGAGATGGCCACACCGCAGTCCCTTCTTCTCCATTCTCCTCTTGGTATTTTGGGCACTCGTGTACACGTGTCTGGCGTGAGTTTTAAGCTGCCCAGTCCAGGACTTGAGCCACGGTCGACTATGTGGGAGTCCAGTGACGTAACCATTACACCATCTGCTGGTTCCTTAAGTAACTTTATACATACTTATATAAAAGAAATGGGTTTGCTTTAGAAAATACAGAAAACAAAGACTTAAAAAAAAAATCACTGATACTCTTACCACATAGTATTTCATCTTTGTAGCTATTGATATTCACTCAGTATTTATTTACCAGAGTGTGACTATACTACGCATGTTATTTTATAACTTCCTCTTTTAATTTAATAATAGGTCATCATGTAAATATGAATATTTGTCTACATTATTTTAGTAGCTTAAGAGTATTTTATTAAGGGACCAGCAGATGGCATAATGGTTACATTGCTGGATTCCCATGTAGTTGACTATGGTTCAAATCCTGGACTGAGTAGCTTAAAACTCACAGTGGACACATGTGCATGTGTGCCGAAAATCCCCAGAGGAAAATGGAGGAGAAGGGATTGTGGCATGGCCATCCTTCCTGGGGAGTGATTTCTCACTTTGTGTCTCTCTGTGAGTGAGTGCACGTTCCCTATAGCAAAAATCTCTCAAAAAAAAAAAAAGTATTTTATTAAATCAAAATGTATTTATCCAGTCCCACTCTTTTGGGCATGTAGATTATTTCTCATTTTTTTTTAAACAATTATTTGTTCAAGTCTATTAATCTTTTTTTTTCAATAATATGATACAGGCACTTACCAGAGAGAGAGAGAGAGAGAGAGAGAGAGAGAGAGAGAGAGAGAGAAAGAAAGCCCCCAGGTCCAGGACTTGAACTGCAGTCAGCCATGTTGCAGTCCAGCATCCTAACCACCACACCACTTGCTGACCCTATTTGTGACTTTTCACCGTTAGAAATTGGGAATCTATGAGTGTCTTTGTGTTTGATTCTGAACCCAGATGTTCTGAAAGTCTTGTGCTGCTTACTGCATAGAGGAGATTGAACTGAAATACCAGACCAGACATTCTGTAGAGTAGGGACTGGTCCATTTCAATAAAGGGTTCGGTAGTACATGTTTAGGCTTTGTAGGCCATGCTGTCTCTTTTGCAGCTATTTAATTCTGCTGTTGGAGTGTGAAAGCAGCCATAGATACTATGTAAACACATGAATGAAGCTGAATACCGATAAAACTTTATTTACAAAAACAAGCAGTGTGTCTGTGTGGGCGTACACACACAGTTTTGGTCTCTGGGCTATGGTTTGCCGTACTCTTTCTAGAAGCAGCACAGATCCACAGGCCAATGAAATCTTGTTAGATTTACCGAAGAGCTGGGACTTTGTTTCTTTCTCTTGAAACTGACTTTACACAGTAGAACAGATTGATTGTTTCTTTATTAATTGATGAACTCAAGTTGCTGTCCCATACATTTAATAGTGCAAAGGTAAAACTGTATTTTAAGAATCCCAGAATATAATAATGGCAAGCCACTGAAGCCTTTTCAAGTGAGAAGTTTTAAATGCATTTTGCTGTGTATACTTTTAGTTCAAACAAAGGGAACGTGAGAAGTCAGACCTCGGTCTCAGGTGTGCTCTGTCTGGAAGGGAAATATGCTAGACCCTTGACAAAGAAAGCACTGCACTTCACATTCTGGAATAGAGGGGTGTCGGGCCAGGCCTTACTAATGCGCCGTTTGTCATGCACAACGCAGTTTTGAATTAAGTGCATGCGTATTTAGACATTTTCAAATCGTGCGCGTCTCTTTCATGTGTAAGATTAACATGGGTTGCAAAACTGTGAGCAGGGCGGACTGACATCCCCCTTAAAGCCCCTCTTGTTCTGAGCTCAGGTGTTATAGATGAAAAACACAGTTCTAAATCCCGTCTGCTCATGGATACCCCCTGTGCCTTAGGTAAGTCTTTTAGCCCGGGCTTTCTTAACTAGTAATCTGGTAACTGGCAGCAATCCATGGAACAATGCACTGAATTTATTGTGACTGACTTGGAGAGGGAAAGACACGATCCCAGGAGAAGACTGGTGGTCTAAGGAAAAGATTAAGGGAGTATTACAGTTTTACAAAATAAGAACACATCTGAAATTTTCAGGTATCAAAGAAAGAAAAGTGAGCACTACTGTTCATTTAGTGATTGGACTTCTGTGTGGAAAAGTTGTTTAACCGTGGCATCTTCAATGCAGTCACATGGTTTAGTAAAAATGGAGTTAATTAAACCCTCTTCCCTTAAGACGGTGCTTCTCAAAAGAGGGTGAGGGCATTATTGCCTCCTGGGGCAGACTTCACAGTGTCTGGAGACATCTTCAGTTGTCACAACCCAGCTGAGGTATGTGCTATTGCCGCCTCGTAGTTAGAGGCAAAGGATGCCACTGAACTCCCAGGTTGCACAAGACAGTTGTTATCTGTAGTGCAGAGGCCGAGAAACCCTGGTCTGAGGCAGTGATGTGAGACGTGTTCTCAGTTAATCTTTATAATGGGGATCTAAATGAGAAAATTCTCAACCTCATTATGATGCAGGATTTTCTGTTCCCCAGCAATTGGTTCTTCTGAAAAAGGCTGATAATTCAGGTGTCTACCTCATTTATCTACAGTGTGTATGATCAAGAAAATGGTTTCCACCCCTATTAATTTGACAAGCTTCACTGCCTAACATTATTGCCAAATGTTAACAGTCATTTCAAAGTTGGCAGTTAAGATGTCAGATAACATCGTTAGTCTTAGAACACATTAAGATGGGTCTTCTGGGGCCAGCAGGTGGTGTTGGATTATCACATGGCTGACTGCAGTTTGAACCGCAGACCTGCTGCTTGAAAATCATGCCGGGTGTGTGTGCATGCATGCCCAGAATCTCAAGATGAGAATGGATTGTGGTGTGGCCATCCCTGCTGGGGTGTGGTGATGTCGCATTTTCTCCTCTCTGTGTCTCTCTCCGGTGAGCACACAAGGCCTATGGCAAAAACTTAAAAAGAAAAAGGTCTTCCAAGCGAGAGCCGTTCTAGCAGGTGGTCCATTCAGTCACTGTGTAGCCAGAGGTGATCTGATGTTGGAGGTTCAGGGAGTGGCGCCTCAGTGTCCGTGATAATGGTTTATTCCCAGCTGCTTTTTCAGGAGCAAATGAGGGTATAGCCATACAATGAAACGTTATTTAGCCATAAGAAGGAATGAGGTCCTTATTCAGCCGTAACGTGGATGACCGTGAACATTCTGTGCTAAGTGAAAGAAGCCGTATTATTTAGCCATAAGAAGGAATGAGGCCCTTATTCAGCTGTAACGTCGATGACAGTGAACATTCTGTGCTAAGTGAAAGAAGCCGTACATAATCGTGTAATTCCGCTTTTTTTGCTATAGGGCACATGCACTTGCTGGAGAGACAGAGAGAGACACGGACAGAAAGTGAGAAATCACCCCCTAGGGGAGATGGCCATG